AAAAAAAAATTCAATGGAAACCTCAAAGGCTTTCCTCTACAAACCTCCATGCAGTGAATTTTTTGGAGGCATTTTGGAGATTATTTCATTGACACAGGAAAGCAAAAAGCAATACAAATTTAACTTCATGTGTTTTGGCAAAGACTAATTGAGCAAATGAAAACCCTTGACTCCAATATGTTCAGCATCCTGTCAACTCATTTCAGAAGCAGTTCAAGGCCAAGAATATCACCATTTGCAATTTCCTGCAATTCTTTTATGTGCCTCACAACAAAAATGGTCATTTCCCTAACTCAAAATCTCTCCAATATTTTGAAACCTCCATAAGCCAAATTTGTTAGTCTCTTTAAATTTTACATAGAAAGTAATTTATCAGTAAAATTCATCAAACCACATCAGACACCATTTTGGTGCATTTTGAATCCAATACAGGTGGTACTGAGCCATTCAACATCCTGCAATTTTTTGGCCAAATTTCCTGGGAGCAGGTCAATTTATGTTGGGGACAACAGTCACCACAACACAAGAAAAGAGAAAGAAAGCTGTGGATCAAAAGAATTATAAATAGAAACACAGGATCAGCCTGGGACATCGCTGGGGATTCCTGGTAGAATCCCAACTTTAACTTTAAACTGTATTTCAATATATAGTCCCAACAACAGTAAAGATTTCAACAAGTCTCAGAATATTTGATTAACGGCAAAAACCTCTCAACAAGCTCGAATTTATGACACTGTGTTCACTGTTCAACAGCTAGGCTCAGACTGATGGTAAAAAGGGGAATAAAGGGGGTTTTTATTAATTGTTGGGGCTGGCCTTGATCCAGCTCTCTGGCTGAGGATCAGGCGATTTTTAGAGGCCTGGGATTGGCCAGAAAAGTTGAAGTCAAAGACAACTCTGGGGGCAGGAAGCCTTGGAAGAACGTTCTCAAATTTTCCCAGATTTTCTGGTGCTCTAAATTTGACTGTTTCCTGTGCTTGTCCTTGGGTGCTTTTTCCACCCAATTTACTCCTGCCTTGATTGATGAGGCACTCATTACACTAGCGGTGGCAGTTCCCCAACAACTTGTACACAATTCCACCTCTACCCCACAATTTGGCCTGCTGAGAGACACAACATGTCAAATTCAATGCAGAAAACATTGCACTTGACATTGTCTTGCAGTTTGAATCTGCTTCACAATGCAATCCTAGCCCATAAATGTATTAGGGTTGGATTTGCAAGTTACCATGTGTATAATGTACTTTATCTGGATTGCAGGTTCACTCATGTGTGAGATCTATGCATTTGTGGGCTCCCTGTCAGGCTGCATGTCCATCTGGTCCATGGCCATGATTGCAGTGGACAGGTACAATGTGATTGTCAAGGGCATTGCTGCCAAGCCCATGACCTACAAGAAAGCCCTTGGCATGATCCTGTTTGTGAACACAGCCTCCCTGGTGTGGTGCACGCTCCCATTCTTTGGATGGAACCGGTATGTGCCTGAGGGCAACATGACTGTGTGTGGAACAGACTCAATGTCAGAGGACTGGGTCAGCCGCAGCTATGTGATTGCATATGCTGTCTGGGTCTACTTCTTGCCTCTCCTCACTATCCTCTACTGCTACTTCCAGATTGTGAAGGTGTGTTAGTTCACCAGAAAATGTATCCAAAAGGGGAAGCTATTCCAGTTATTTCTGCATTTTGGATATACTGAGCCACTTTTTTTTCTTAATTTTAGAAAACCATAATGGATGGCAGAATAATATTCTTCATTTTGTTGCATACATGTTAGAAACTGTATCCTTGCTTTGCAAAAGGTCTGTACAAGCAAAATTGGGCATTGTGGAATGTTTTTGGTGGAAGAAAGTAACACACATAACAATTACTTAAAAATCCTGTACTGTACACTGTATGAAAAAACCCTGTTTTTCTAAATTTATATTTTTTCTTCAATGAATTGAGTTCATTTGGCAACTGAGGAATACTAGGATGGCAGAAAATTTTTCATTTTTTGCATAATTCTGACAGTGTATCTTTGCTTTGCAAAAAGGTCTAAGCAGCCAACATATTTCTATGTGATGTTTTTTGGGAGGAAGAAAGTAACTAACAAAGGATTCATCTCAGAAGAATCTATTAAAAAGCTTTTTCTATTTTTCATTTATTTTTCAATGAATTGAGTGGTAAATTGAGGAGTGCTTGGAAACTGCTGGTGACAGTCCTTTCAATATACAGATTTTTATTATTATTTCTTTATAGGCTGTTGCTGAACATGAGGAGCAGATGAGGGAGCAAGCAAAAAAGATGAATGTGCAGAGCTTGCGTTCATCAGAGGCCAACAAGACCAGTGCTGAAATCCGCCTTGCCAAGGTTTGAAACTATATATTTTGCAGCAGAATTCCATTACAGTGGATCTTGTTATTGAAACACATTATCAATTGTATCAATATTTTTTTTTCGGCATGGAAATTCTTCTCCATAGGTTTCATGTTATAACCATGTTATAAAAATCTTGATTCAACAAACTCATTTTATGTTGGAACCTCATTCCAAAACATTTTTGGTCTGATTCTGTTTTACATATACTTATCAGGCCATTATATTTGATGAATGTCAGAAAAATGAGAAAAAAACTGAAAAGGTGCAGCTGTCCAACTTCATCAATAGAGCAAAACTGCATGTAGATGAAATTTGTTTTTCAAGAAAAGCACAACATGGCATTACTTCTTGGAAATTCTTTAGCTCCAATTCATTCTGTTTGCCTTTCTTTCAAATCAACAGTGTGTTAAAAAAATGACCTCTATTTGAAAGAACAGACAGGTATGAATGAATAATTTGATTCAGATGGGAGTACAATACAGTACTTCCACCTGTAATTTATTTAATTTTATTTTTCAAGACAGAGCAATGACAGTTTGGTAACAAAAGAAGCAGGTTAAATATGAAAGCAAAAAGGATATTTATTTCTAAAATTTCCTATTCATTTCATCAAAAATAATACTTAGTAATTATATGATAAGTCTTGATTGTGATAATTCCTTGTTTTGGAGGCGCACTGTATGATATTTACTCCCAAAAATTTTTGAAATACATTTATAACTATAAATCTTGATACAGAGAATTTTTCATTATAACGAGATTTCAGTAACCGTAAAAAACACTGCATTTATTGTTTATACAATTGAACCTCTGTACGTCGAATTTCTAGGGACCAGAAAAAAATTTTACTTGGGGAGGTTTTGATTTTTGCAGGTTTTGAAGCAAGGACAAAATAATTCTTGCTGTGAGGATTAGTAAAAAAATTGCAGGAAATTGTAAATGAGAAGATTCTGGGCCTAAACTTGCCTCTTGATGAGTTTTTACTGTGCTGAACTTGGAGGCAGGGGTTCATTTGCTATATTTGTCTTTCAATTCCTTTCAAGATGCATCAAATTATTTGTTTTAAACATTTTCTCTCTCATATTTCACAGAAATAATAACCAGATGGCCTCAGAAAATTCGACTTACAGAGGTTTTAGGAAAAAAGAATTCCAGTCCGGGAGGTTTTTAATGTATTGATCTTAAGGGAATTTGGACAGGGACATGAAAAAAATTCGAGTTAGGGAGGAGTTGGACTTACAGAGGTTTGACTTATCAAGGTTCACCGGTATATATACTGTATGTATATATATATATATATATATATATATATATATATATATATATACA